TGGAGTGAAGAAGCCAAAGAAGAAGGCGAAAAAATCCCCCGAGCCTACTTCATCCACAACGACCAAGAAGGTCGAAGAGAAGCCCGTATTCGAATACAAAGCTACGGAGGGTGATGAGGGGGATGAAGAGATTGACCAGAAGGAGATGGCCAAGCGTTTTGCCGCTGTGAAGAGTGGAATCCCCGCCCAGGTGAGCGGCAGCGAGGGTAAATCTCAAAAGAAAAAGAAGAAGACCACCAGCCAACTCGAGGCTGAAGAGAGTAAGCGCTCCGGATCTCGCGTCTCGACTCGCACCTCCTCCACCGCTGGCGCCGACGCGGATGATGATCTCTCCCCCGCGGAGTCCCCGATGGTGAAGCCTACCGCCTCCTCCGCTGGATATGTATCGGACATGCTCGAAGCTCCTGCTCCCGGCGCGTCTGTCCTCCGTGTCACCGGGTCCATGGAAGCGCCCCAGAAGAAGCAGAAGGCCCAATCTTTCAAGCAGGTTGAGACTAAGAAGCAGCGCCAACAACGGGCGAAGAACGAGGCTCGTAAGCAACAAGTTCAGGAAGCCGAGGCAGAAAGACGCAAGCTCCTCGAGAAACAACTCCACATGGCTCGGGAGGCTGAGCGCCGCGAGGCGGCTAAGTCCAAGCCCGTTGCGCCTCAGAGCAATGCGTGGCAGACAAAGGAGGTGAACCCCTCTTCCAACGGCACCCCGAATGTGTCTCAGAGCCCCAACGTGGAACTGCTGGACACTTTCGAAGCGCCGTCCTCCAAGCAGTCTCCTGCCACTGCCTCGAGCTCGAAGAAGTGGGACCAGGGCCTCCCCTCTGAAGAGGAGCAGATGCGTATCCTGGGTGCTGATCCTGTTGATGACTGGACTACTGTGTCCAGCAAGAAGCCTAAGAAGAAGGGCGGAAAGGCCGATGAGAGCTTCAGCGAGGCCAGTGCGTCTGAGACCCAGGTGACTCCTGCCGCTCCAGTGGCCGTTCCCGCTGCCCCCAAGGTCACTGTGACCCCAACCTATATACCCGATATTCTGCGCTCGAAGCAAAAGGGACACCCTCTCGACTCCGACTGGGCCGCTTAGAAGATCCGTGTATCATTCCGTTTCTTTTTCTTTTTGTCCCTTGGAGACGAAGACAACCGTCGTATAAGAGCAGCACGCTTCTCATTCCTTCCAAGAATCTAAGCCTTGGACTGTATTTATTATTCATGGCTTTGGCGTTTGGGCTGTCTTCGATATACCACAAAACTGTCTAGTATCGGGTGAGATGGATTCATTCTACCACGATTGAGCGCGGGAAGAAGGAAAGAGAGAAACATGGTTGAATTGGCCAGAAGAAAGAAGAGACTCTATATGGGGAGAAAAATTGAGAAAGGGGAAAAAAGAATTCATGTATTTTCCTTGTGTGGCTTTTTTGCGACCTCCTGACTGTTCTTAAAACATATTTGTTTCTGATCAATAATTGATTGATGAATTCTATCAAGGGTTACGACATTTTGTATTTCCGGTCTAACGGCGGCCTTAAATGCACATACTGTATGGATTCCATGATTTGATCATTCTTCTTCCCTCGGCATACGTAGAGTTGGTCTTGTGAATAAGTAGGTATCTTCCTCTGGCCAAAGCTCGAACATTGGACAAGATCTACTGCTGATCCAGGATCTGTCTACCGAATCAGGAACTGGGTAGAAGGCACAGACAACCTCTCTAGGTTTCTCAGCTTGTACTGTGATTTGATCTTGAAAGTCGAAACGAGGAGAACAGATCTGAGCTTTGGGTCGACTCACGCGAGACAAGGTGGAGCTTACTTGCCTTTGTAGCTTAGTGCCGGTGAAGTGGTGAAGTAGTGGCCGTCTCAGATCTGAGGAGACCCAACTGTTTCTATATTTATGCTTCTTCTATACTCTGTAGACACATGCTATTTCGTCAATTGAATCTGAAGCTCCAATTTCTCGTTGTAATTCTCAAATGATCCTGTAGATAGTTGTAGTTGATGCTTGAGAACGACCTTAAGCTGTTGAATCAGGGACAGAGGAACGGGCCTGAAGATCGGCGTCCCTGAATATGTGGGTGTGGGGTATGCCTGATTGGGACCTCTGGATATCTACTAGACACCACCACACAGATTGACAGTAGAGAAGACCCTGTCATGCAGGCTATTTAGTATATTCATGGCATCCCCTGATTGATTAGAACATTTTTAAAGAGCAACATTCTGATGAATATAAGCAGAATCGATTGAGAAACCTGATGTCGTCACTAGGAGCGCAGGGAGGTGGACCTTGGCAACCTTGCCCAAACAGGACTAGAGGCGAGTTTCGGTCATCGTGGCCTGAACTGAACAAAGTGACCAGAACAAGAGTAACAAAGGGAGCAACAAGAGATCAAGTCGTTCTTATTATTTCTCCAAGTCTTTTTCTTCTTTCTGGTTACGATTCATTATTGACTTGCTTATTGATTGTCCCTTTGGGATAAATTTCTCTCGACGTATCCCTTTTAGCATCGAAAGGTTTGTGATCCATCCTACTCCTGTTTTCCCCTGTTTTGCTGGTCTCCCTCGCCTTTTTATTTGTTTCCTAGTACGGAGTACGCCCTACAAACCAAACTACCATCACTACTACTCTCCCCGCCGCCTCCTCCTCCTCGGCTCCTTGTGGATTCTGCTCCGGAGTCTCGTTGATTTTATCCTCCGCTTTTGCACAATCCAACCGACTGTTTACTGATATTGGCATCCCTCTGAAGTGATTATTCCGTCCTCTTCCACCAGTTCATTCTCCCGCCATGGCGCAGATTCGCGGCACTGCGGGTTACAACCTCGGTCACCAGAACCCCTTCGGAGGGCCTGGACGAGCAGACGCAACCAGCGACCCGAGTCCCCTGGATGCTATTCGGGAACAGACGAGCAAGATTGAAGACTGGTTGGATACAATCTCGGATCCTGTAAAGCCGTACGTTGTCCTCTTTCACTTTATCCGCGAGAAGGGATGAAGTATACAAACAAGGGCGAAAAGCCGGAGCCTTATTCCAGAGACATACTGACACTGAGTCGTCTTGGTTGCTAGCTATCTTCCCGCCATTGGCCGTTTCCTTATCGTGGTCACCTTCATCGAGGACAGCTTACGTATTATCACACAATGGAGCGACCAGCTCGTATACCTCCGTGAATATCGGAAAAGTAAGCGTCCCTGACTCGCCATGTCAATACTGCTTTGCGACAAATCTCTAACACGAGCTCTTTTGTCCAGTTCCTTGGGGTATCACGCACACTTTCCTCATAATTAACGTCATTGCAATGTCCGTATGCTCGTTCCTGGTCATCACCCGCCGCCACACTGAGATCGCCGTCGCCGGCCTGCTCGGGGTTGTCGTCACACAAGGTCTCGGCTATGGTCTCATCTTCGATCTCAACTTCTTCCTGCGCAATCTCAGCGTCGTCGGTGGTCTGCTCATGGTTCTCTCCGACTCTTGGGTTCGCAAGAAGTTCGTCCCGGCCGGGTTGCCCCAATTGGATGAAAAGGACCGCAAGATGTACGTCCAGTTTGCTGGCCGCGTGCTCCTGATCTTCCTCTTCGTTGGATTTGTGTTCTCCGGCCAGTGGAGCTTGTGGCGCGTGCTGGTCAGCCTGTTCGGTTTCGTCGCGTGTGTCATGGTCATCGTCGGTTTCAAGGCCAAGTGGAGCGCCATCATTCTCGTGGTTTTGTTGAGTGTCTTCAACGTACTCGTTAATAACTTCTGGACTGTACGCTCATTTTCCTCTACAACGGATAAAGCCCGTAACTGACTCCTACTCTCTCAGCTGCACCCCCACCACCCCCACAAGGACTTTGCCAAGTACGACTTCTTCCAGATTCTATCCATTGTGTAAGTCCCGTCCTCCGCTTTCACCAGTGATCAAATCCTAACCGCTCTATAACAGCGGCGGTCTCCTTCTCCTGGTCAACATGGGTCCTGGCCAACTGAGCATGGACGAGAAGAAGAAGGTCTACTAGAAGTAGCAGGTTATATTCCACTCAAGGACAACCCTCTCCCCCAAAAACTTTCACGTTCAGCATTTTCTTGCGAAGGCGTGCACATGTCCCTGAAGGATCTATTTCCCACGAGACCTCCCCCTTTTCCCTCCACCTCTACCTCAAACTCATACCTTTGGACTGGAACTCCGCCAGCGCAGCTTCATCCTATTATCATCAAGAGGAGTTCGACGCGTTTTGGCCTAAATCGGTTTTGAATTCTGTTGGCTAGTTTTGTCTTACCTTAACCTTATCGTCTCAGATGAGAAATAACAGTACCTGCATTTCTCTATTGGTATTTCCTTTCACTAGAAAGTCCATCTCATGGGAACTGCTCAATAATTGCGCCTGTTTCTTGCGACTATGTACCTGCAGGATGTAGGTGGGCCGGTCCATCGTTATAGCGGTACGAACTATACACGCCACATGTGGATCGATTGACTAGACTACGTATCAATGCAGGAATGTAGTCCTGCATCATTCCTTACAACATATGAGTAAGGTTTAGAGAGGTACAGTTGCTTAAAGGTATGACGCAAGGTATGTATTAGGAAAGCTATTATACACGAAGAAAGTCCAACAGCTCAAAAGGAAAATCTCGGATAAGAATAGGACGGGACAGGTCAAGGAAACGGGGACAGGTTAAGGAAACGGCTAGAGAATGGTAATCTGCGCTGACAATGAGAATGACTCGAATGCAGGAATGTGGGAGTTAGCAAATGGGAAGATGACACAGACGAGAGGCCTAAGGCTGAGGAACCCGCAGTATGCCGCCATGGACCTGCCATGGAGATAGCCCGCGAACAATGGCAGGCCTTTCTTCCTGCTCTGTAAGATGATAAGTAGGGGAGGGGAAAAAAAGTGAATGAGAGAGCATCCGCTTTTGTGCTTCCAACGCCGAGATAGATAAACCAATTGAATGCATCCAGAAACGTCTGCGAGGCCAAAAGGGTTAAGAAACAAACGCGAGGTTGGAAGCGTGGCTCATTGGGTTTCTACCCTCAAATGTCCATGCTCCAACGCCAAGGCCGAATAGGTTCAAACTGGCCCAGGCTGATTTCTTCAATTGCATCATCGTTGATATCCAAATGGTATAGTTGAATCTGTTTGTTGTCCTGCTGAAACGTGGATAGTGTCTTTGATACTTTCGGACGGGCATTCTTAGTATTGTCGTCCGTTGATTTTGATACTGGCCGTGACGTTGGAGTTTCAGGATACTGCCATGAGATACTGGGAGTCTCCGCGTCTGAGCAGTCCGGAGAAGATATGGTAGAGGGTGAATCGCAACGTGGATGTCTAGGTACTGAGATGACAAACATGCTCTCGTCACGTCCGTATGGCAGCATAGTCGACGACAGCTGCCGAGGAAGCTCACGCTGACTGTTGCTTTCGGGCTTTGGTGCTTTCTGGGCAGAGTGTTCGTAGGGCGAAGCCAGAATAGGCGTGGATTTGTTCGACGACCTTTGATCCGTACTTTGAGTAGCCAAGGGTGGCAGCTGTCTATTCCGCTGGGCAACTGTCGACCCTGCCTTGTTAAGATGATTGTCTTTGGGTAGTGCCCCGCAGTCATTCTTGCGGGTTGAAGCGCTGAACGGTTCCTTTCCGGCCATGACTCTGGCGCTGGGAGGCGGTTGCAACATCCATCTTGTTTCCGCCCGGCTCTTGGGTCCGCTTACAATCGGTGGATGAAGATCGTTGACCGGGGGTACCCGGGCGACATAGTACTTGCTGGGCTCGGTGGTGTTCGCTTTGACCCGACCGGAGATTCCAACCGAGGAGCCCTTCACCTCCACTTCCTCCCCCCACAGGGGTTCATCCTCGCGCTGATAACGCATACGGTTCCACCGGTCGCCTAGCGGATGCTTAAGACTGCTTTTATCCTTTCTCAGTGATGCCTCCCCCACGTCGTGGCTCGACTCCATAGGTGACAACGGATCAGTATTCCAACTGTCGGTCCGTCGATGATTGTTCCGATGACCTCCTCTCCTTGCGGGAGGGCCCGGACCTAAAGCAATCTCTTCAGCCCATCCTGGGTTGGTACTGAACGGTGTTGGCTGAGGGAATGGTTTTGGTTGGTCGGTGATGACGGCGTCAACCTTCTCCTTCTCTCGTTGCGATCGAACAGCTTCCTTCTTTCGCTTGCGACGGTCAAAGGACATAGCACAGGGCGTACAGGTGGCATAGTAAAAGACGGCCGATTGAGCCCCTCTGTACAGCCACATGGCGGTAAGCTGCGATGATGCCTAAGATCCGGAAGAGAGTAGCGACGCTTGACGTAGACGAGTCCGGCGAATGCACTAGTATGAAAATTGGTTTTGAAGATCTATTTGGCCCGCAGGCACTGGTAGTTTGATCTCGATATTTGCTGTGGCGCTGAAGACAACATGAAGGGCGTTCTCTGTCCTAAAGCGGAATTGTGAGGAAAGAGCACACGGAGATCGGCCAGCGATCTGTTACGGGAGAAGGGGAAGAGTGTGAAGAATAAGAGGACAGAGAAGAAGAAACAGAGGCAAATGGAGGAAGAGAGCAATGAGAACAGGGATCCAAGATGGGGAGAACGAAGGAGGAGATGGTAAAAGAAGATGAATGGATGGATGGATGGATAGGATGGGGATGGAGGAGAGGTTGGCTGCTGGCTGTTTGGCTGTTGGCTGTTCTCGCTGTCTGTCAGGGGGAGTTGGGCCACCGGATTGGGCTTGGCAGGATGGAGAGAGAGGGGCGGGACAGCGACTTAGTCATGGTGCTAAACACGGGAGCCGTTTCATCGCCAGGCACAGGAGTGTCGATCTCAGACATTGTGCCTATTTATGTATGACTATCGATCTACGGCTGCTTCTGTTGTTTCGAAGATGAAGAGAAACATGTTCGTGAGATCATTATGCTCGGAGGATTTTCAACAGCATTACGGAGGAACGGTGAATCTACTGAACCGTCTTCCCTGCAGACTGTCTCCAACGTTGAGTGGGACCACCCCACACTAACAGACAAATACTGGGAAAAGGAAGCATTCCTTATTGGAATGTACAGGATAGGTAATTCCCAAGGAACTTCCATTTCTACCGCTCAAGTGACGGCATTCTTATATTCGAAGAAGCCCTTGCGTCATACCAAATTCGAGGTCGAAGCAATTCGAAGCCCCTTCCAACTGATGGAAAACCCCTTTGCAGCCCGAAACATCTACAAAGAACCTAAAATAATCAAGAAATACCCACTGCTGTCATGCTCCTCTACGGAGTACATGATATCCGGAATGCGCTGAACGTTGCATTTATCCGCCAGTCATGTGTATTAAGCGCCGGAGGCAAAAGTATGCATCCCGAAAGCAGACTTCACCTGCGTTGGGGGCCATAAGTCGTGATACTCGAGAAGGTTGTGAGGCTACGCGGACTCCTTGCCAGAACATCTGTCATAGATTGATGGCATCGGCCCTTTGAGTCATTGTCGTGATCGGACATATCTCCAGGAAGAGATCCAGATCTTCACCAATCGACTTCCTCACTGGCATAAATCAGGTATTTTCTGATATGTTTTCTCACGACTGACATTCCAGCCAAGGTCCTTAAATGTTCACTCATCTGCAGTAACATGGGTCAAACAATGCTGCCGATCATCAAGCGGAAAGTTTCAAACACAATGCGCTTCTGCAAGCACTTGAAACGGCATATAGATGGAGTGGTTTCAGGACGACTAACGCTGAACAACAGCGAATGCAGGCAACTTCTGGCTTGCTATACTCCGGCATCTTTGAAAGTCTATCACTCCCACCGCGACAGAAGCCTCCAGAGATTACTGCAGTCATACATGCGTGGTCAAACATTTGCAGCGATTTTGAGGACCTTTCCCGGCAAGTTGATGCGGCTTCAGAGTCTCAAACAGTATACCTGAATGCCTATAATTCTCGCAAATCCGTTCACAGGAACAATACGCCCTGAAACTCTAGCAATTCGCATAAAAGGACTCTTTCACCTTCGACCAAATCGAAGAATAACTTTGAACTCGGACAAGTCTCTGATTAAGAAAAGGCAAGCTATAGTATAGAAGTCTTACGAACAGTAACGATAGCGAGGGGTCAAAAAAGCAACCTGATCCTTTCCACGTGTCAACTTATAGATTCGTTGGACCAGTTGTTTGGATTGGACTACAGCTCTGAAGCTCAATACTAACCTTTGAATGAACTGTGTTCGCGAATAATCAAGTGAGCTACGTGTTCGACTGTCAAAAATAACTGACCAGCTGATGTTGTGGCAGCGGCAACCAACAACTACTGGAAACCTCCACTATTCAAGATTGCGAAGTGGTCAACCTGTCGATGGATATAATTCCATGTCACATAGAATCAGGAAAGTATACATTACCAGAAGTTGACAACAGAGCATTTCCAAGGCTTGGAACTTAATGCAATGGTACCTAAGCAGGCTAAGAGTGGCTCAAAATCGTCCACAGAGGATGATGATGCAATGGTGATGATCTGTCTATCATGAAGTCAAAATGCCGCTACAAAATCCTAAACAACCTACATCCTGATCTGCCAGGAGATCAATTGATAATAAGTGCGTCTAAGTCAATTCTTGTAAAGTATAAATAGTTTAGGATGTCTTGTACCTTGGCTTCTACACCACCCAAAGAGCCGACATAGACCCGTGCGGAGGGGAAACTATCAACATGGTATGTCCGAATAGCTTCAAACTCCCCAGCCAGACCATCCGAATCTAAACTAAACAGTTTCAATGCAGGCCCTCAGCTTCTCCCCGGAGATCAGACAGCCACCCTTCCTCCTCACCACCACCGCCGACTCCACCCTCCCTCTCCTCGTCCTCCTCACCTGCCTCCCCTCCTTCCTCCTAGCAGCCCACTACATCCGCAAAGACTACCACGCCTTCCTCGCCCTCGGGCCAGGCGGCACCCCCTCAACACCAACCGGCTACGCCCGCATCTGCATCCTCCGCCTCTTCACCGTCCGCGATCCCCTCTCCCCACCCTCCATCCCACCATCCCTCCACCCCAAGCACGGGCAGCTTCCCTCCTCCCTTCCCGTCCGGGCAGGTCCCCGCCCAACCGTCGCAGGGATAGCCCCCCACAGGCAGACGACCCAGCGCGCCAGCAAAACAATGTACGCGACGCTGTCAAACAGGATCCACGAGCTGGTCAACGCGCACCCATCCACTCTCCGCGCCGCGACCTCCTGCTTCGAGAAACACAGCACGGGGATCTTCTGCGTAGCTGCGGCCGCGCAGGCGCAGGCGCAGGCGCAACGCCACACCTGCGACGGGGAAGTGTGCCACTCGCATCCGGTTGACGGGAGCTTGCACCTCACGCTGCATCCGGCGGATGTGAGGGCTGTGCTGGAGAAGGGATGGGGCCAGCGGCATCCACTTGCGTGGGACGACGGCGGGGAGGAGTGGTGTTGGTGGCGGTGGGCGAAGAGTGTGCCGCCGGGGTTTGTGATGATCTATGCGCCGAGGGATGAGAGGGAGTTAGAGGTCGTGATGGACATTATTCGGGCGGCTGTGTGGTGGGTTGGTGGGACGGAGCTGAAATGAGGAGACCTAGAAGGTTCAGCAAAGGCTTCCAGCAAAGAGTGCATATGCCGGGTAGATTGGCTGAGATTGTGTTCATAACATCAGGAACGCCCTAGTTGTACAAAGACAAAGACCATATACTTTCCTCATCAGTGGAGGACTTATGGACGGAAAATCCAGTCTTCAAGTGCATCAAATTCATTTCATCTACTTCAGACACCTATCAATATGTTTAGTGAAACATAACCATTCTGGATGGATCATAAACGTCGAGCCAGCCTTGACTCTCGAGGACATGAACAACAGATGAAAAATGGTTTTTCAAAAGGCACAAAGGAGTATTTGTTGGAATCGACGCCGGGACGAAAGAAGAAATAAAAGCTAATAGCATAGAGGAATGAAGAGCCGTTAGAGAACATACAAGTACCACCAAGAAGCAAATCCCTTTTGTATGCAAGGTGTCTTTGCCGGCCCTGGTCCCCCAACCATCATCCGCGCAACTCCTAGTCACAGTTTCGGGTTTTCTTCCTCTCGTCGTATTATAACATTCTAAGAGTTGTTCGATTTCCTCAGCGCATCGGCGAGCCATTCCAGACCTTCGTACAGACCGTCACCGGTGGTGGCGCAGGTAGATTGGATGTACTAGATATAAATTAGTGGACTGTGAAGGATCTGCATTGGCAGTCAAGCCAACTTACCCAAGCACGACGGGTGAGACTTTGCAGACCAAGCTGCTGGGTGATCTCGGCGGGGCTCATGGCGTTCTAGAAGTTCAAATCAGTATCACACCGATACAGACGCGCACAGGGATCTCATACAGGCAGATCTTGCTTGTTGGCGAAAACAAGGAGCAGAGCGTCACGGAGTTCGTCTTCGTTCAACATGCGCTGCAACTCTTCCCGGGCCTCGACAATACGGTCGCGATCGTTGCTATCGACGACGAAAATGATACCCTGGGTGTTCTGGAAATAGTGTCTCCAGAGAGGACGAATCTTGTCCTGACCACCGACGTCCCACACGGTGAACTGAATGTTCTTGTACTCGACGGTCTCGACGTTGAAACCTTGACAAATAACCCAATGTCAGCAACAGCTTCCTTCTCGTACGCGACCAACGAAGATTATCCGGCGTGATTGACCGACGGACGACCCGAACCAGCGGGAGTGGACGACTGACCAATCGTGGGAATAGTGGTGACGATTTCACCCAGCTTCAGCTTATACAGGATGGTGGTCTTTCCGGCGGCGTCAAGACCAACCATCAGGATTCGCATCTCCTTTCGACCCCATAGTCTATCGAACAGCTTCGAGAAGGTGAGACCCATGTTGGCGGTGGCGTAAACGAGTCTAAGGGGAGCGCGACAGTGAGGTCAGTCAATCGAAAGTTTTCGATCTGATTGATCTATAACAAAAGTATGACAAAATAGGCAGAGACAAAGAGTTGAAGACCCAAACGCAAAAAGACACGGGGCCTGGGTATGGGGTGACTTGAGAACGAGGGGCGTATTCACACCGGGGAATAACGGTGAGTTGGTAGAGTTCAGGGGAGAGGGAGAGGGAAAGGGAGAGAGGGGAGAGGGGCGAAAAGAAGGGAAGTAAGTCGAAGAGAAAATAAAAAGAGAATTTAACAAAGACAGACTTACCAACACAGAAGAAGCTGGAGAAGGGAAACAAAACGTGGATACACGAGGGTAAGGGTGATGATTGTGATGATGATGATAGATAGATAGAATTAAGGTAAGGTAGGATGGAGTAGCAGACAGACAGACCACGCTTCTCTCTCAGTCTGTGCCTGTGTCTTGTGTCTGAGCCGGCCTTGTTTTGTCGGTGTTGGAATTTTTGGGTGCAAAAATGCCAGGTCGAGAAATTCAGCCGCCGGCGTAGCTTCCGTCACTAACGAAACCACCAGAATCACAACACTCAGCACGGAGTATCTATCTCTCTATTTATGGTTGACTCTGGATGGTGTCAAATTGCATCTGATTCTCTTCCCGAACAATAGTAATGACTCTCTACAGGAATAAGACTGGACATTCTTGTCTGCTACTTTCCCCTTATACTACGCTTCTTGAATCTTCTCTGCCTGGCCACATGAAGAGGACACGGTGTTTCCCGTCTATTGGCGCACTAAGACCGGCGCTTTTCAGGGCTGTGATGATACTGAGAGCGATCGTATACCGACTATCACTGCGTGATGATAACTTGGGTGCTGAAGATCGAATGAGCTGCTTGCTCAAAAAATTTACTTCATTGATGCCTATTCTTGCTCGTAATCAAGCCATTCGTTCCTTTCCCCCTTTGCTGCGCACTTCCAGGCCCAAATACAAAGGCACAAAGTCCAGACATTCTGGGTCTGGTCCCTTTCTGATAGGTTCCCGGGTTGGCTCTTGAATCAGCCCCGTCCCAGTGGATCACTTCGGGTGGCACTGGGCCTAGGTATCTATCGCAATTTGCAAATGTGCCCTGTCTCGTGTTCTCCTAAAGTAGGTAACGTGTTATTAGTACACATTATCTCATCGCCGCAATTCCAGGTTGGTGGTTGGCTCCAGATATCCGGAGCTCAGTGGTAACGGAAACCCACAGGGGCCACTCTATCTACGCGTCATTAATCAGAAGATGCCGTGGATGCAGGTAGATCTGGCTGTATCGGTTTTCGAAAATTACGAGCATCATTTTTCCGTTCTCCTGACTCAAGTCGACTGTGCATGCCTTGTGCATCAAATCTAGTCGACATGTTTTCGCTGATGCCCGAGTTTGTCCTTGGATGAGGAGATAAATGTTCGCGACAATGATTGATAGATTGGCCTGCCCTCGATGGTGCCGCTTGCGTAACCAAAGAGAACAAGGACCAGCAGTGACAGGACCATGATGACTGCGAAGCTGATCCAATATTCGGCCTGCGTATACACTCCTTTGACACCTCTGAGCTCGGTTGAAAAGTACGCCGTCATCAAACTGACTGGCAAGAAAAGAATCGTGATTTTCGCCAGCAGAATGGTGATTCTCGTCAGCTTCTCGACAGCCTGTGAATCTTTCAAGGCGATCAAGTTGAAATTCTGCACTAACTCGTCAACATATCAGTACATTTGAAGGAGAAGAGGTGCGCGCTGACCAGGAACGTGAGAGACTCTTTCTCTGTCAAACAGGCGTCAATCTCAGTTAAGCAATACAGTTTGATGCGATCAAGCAATCTTTCGAAGCGAGCAACGGCTGCGGAGTTCAATCGCACGCCTACAGAGTTTTCGCAGTTGCTCGACAATTCTGATTCACTCTGAATGACGTGCCTCGGTGGCATTCTCGGTTGTCTTGAGCGTGCCTCATCGCGCAGCAAGCGCTGTCTCTGAAGCACGCGCGTCAGAATGAGCTCGTAGCTTTGGTACAGGCGTCGTAGGACTGCCAATCTTCTGCCTAGCCAATGTAATTCATTTACCAAGTCCACGACCGGTTTGTTCAACATGTCCTCTCTCTGTCCTCTTAGATCAGTACCTGAGCGCGACCTATCCTTTTGCAAAAAGTGATTCTTACCAGTCGATCCAGCAAGACTCCATACTTATGCTCGCGCTTTGCTATCAGAGCATAACTCGTCACCCAGTCATCGAAGATGTAGTAAAAAAGCAGGCCAGGGCCATCGTCCTGATGTATACTGACGTGGTCCGAACGAGGGTCATTAGACGCTCGCACTCGAATGGTGACCAACGAGTCACTTTCGGATGAAGCAGAGTGCTGCTTGGAAGCACCTGAAAATATCATCTGCACGTTTCTGCGCACGACTCCCACAACCGACTTGACTTCTGACTCTGGTCTTGGCTCAGATATTCGCGGATACGGGTTCTCCTGGATTGATATGACAGTCCCTTGGTTCGTCAGCAATTATGGCCACGATTGTGCTAGGTTGTCCTCACCATCGTCGCAAAGGATCAACCAGGACCATAATCTCATTCCATCAGGCAGGTCTCTCCCGTTTGATATATCAACGTTTGGAATCACGTATAACGAGTTATACCCAACGCAAGTATCTGGATTCGGTCAGCAATTCGCAAGTGACAATGAGAGTCTCCGTGTTTATACATCGGGGTCCGTGATCCACCGAGCAAAAGTGCCAAATCTGGTTTGTGACATGGGCAAACGTAAGGCCTCGGAATGAAGCTGCCTTTTGAATGTCGTCTGGATCTGATAAGTTTCTCAACGAAACGGCCTCCTCAAGATCTTCCTTGCGAGGACGATGCGATCGATCAATGCTTCTGTGGAAGCTAGCCCTCAGTGACTGCACGGGTGCTGGAGCTTTCGGCGGAGCTGCTACGGGATCAGTACACATCATCCCCTGTAGCCTTTCCGAGACGCCGTAGTAGCTCGTAATTTCCTAGGCCATCAGTGTGCTGTACTCTTGTATGTCGTCCCTGACGAACCTTGATCACATCCTTCTGTTCTTCCGGGGCCCAAATGTTACTTCGAGCAGACGTCGTCAGTATCAATATCTGGACGACCGATAGCAACTCACATCCACCTAGTCCCAAAACAATTTGGTTTCTGAAGCTCACATATCAGTACTTGTTGTCCATGGTTATATTAATGCGGATACGGCTTACTGGCTTCCGCAGCAACAGGTCGAAATCCTCCTGTTTCAGATTCATCGCACACCAGGCATCATCATTCCCGAAATCCAGCACGAAATTCTGCGTCTGTGCATCTCGTAATCGTCTATTATACGCATAAAAACAAGACTCCTCATCAATATCGCGAAATTTACCCTGAAGGGTCGGTCGATCTGTAAAGCTCGCGTAGTACTCATAGGGATTCTGGTCGCTACTCGCTGATGAGCTGGACATGCTGTTTCCAGTTGCCTCTGTAGCTCTATAATCCTAAGTATCAAATAATCTCTGCACCGGGCGAAACATGAAATGAGCGAACTGAGCAAGAAACTCAAGTCAAGTTCAAGGGGCGCCATCGCATATTAATATCAGGTCCAGGTTAAGCGCCCACTCAGCGCCTAATAATAATCCTGCAGATAATAGCCCTCGTGTGGCTGTCGACTGACCCTGACATCCCCGCGAATCCATGTGTTACAGAATGCGCGGCAAAATTAGCAGGATTACTTGATTGCTGTTCTTGTGTGCAGCTGACTTGTTGGTTTCGACATGGGATGCTGCTGCTGATCACTTTTTTTAAGATTATCGAAGTGTAACTTGAACATGGATACAGTGATGTATTGTATGTTTACTAATGTTTCATTTCCTGATATGGTCAAGGCGTTGACAATGTAAACGCAAGTTGAACGACATCCAATATGCTCTTGGATCTGGTGTCAGTGTCACGTGGTGGTTACCGGAATATATATGGCTTGAAATATGCAGCTATATGATGGCCAAAGTCAAAATTAGAGTCGCTACATGCTACCTTGGAGCATATTTAAGCAGAGAGGTAGCGCTCCGATTCTGCAAACAGGGAAGCAGCAAAAAGGTCAGAACGCCCTAAACTTCCACGGGTACCAAAACACATGACCTAGTTGGACGTCATTTTATGTTCATACTGGAGGATATCATATTCATGATGCGACAGTCAAACCATGTCGACTGTTATCTCATTGCGATATCCGGCAGCAATGGTGTGCAATCCATGTAGACAACCTTGATGGTGACCATACGCTCTCTCCATAGCAGGAGGAGCGCCAGTTGGTACGGTGTCCGGTTCTTGGCTGGTACAAATAAGCCAGCCCAAGAGCTGGTAATGCTGTAACCTAAGCAGTCAAGGCCTGTGGAAAATCAAGACCAAGGTTCTCCAAATCCCAGATCTGGCCTAATTCGCCAAGATCCACGTTGAAAAGCTCCTGAAGGCCGGAGGACGGAGGTGCCAGCGGCTCCAGGGAGGAATAACCTGGCATTGTGGGAACGAACATCTCAGAGTTGTTTGCGCCTAAAGGCTGCAGATTGTTATTAATGCCAAAGTCGATGCTGGGGACCGCATCCAAAGTCAACTGAGAATCAGAAGGCGTCTTGACCCCCCTAAGTGGGCTGTCGGAAGACTTGGAGCGCAGGATCAATTCCTCCTCTGGGGTTAAGGAGAGCTTGTCCACAAGTTTTGAAAGTACTGAGTAGCATATTGCGGCGGTTTTTGTGCTGTGGCTGCTCTGTTCTAGTGTGCCCAGAGTCACGCCGATTGCTTGAATAATCCCGTCTCGCTGAGGGAGACATCGCCCATGGTCGTGGATGATGGCTGAACATAGGCTGGCGGCTGTGTCGAACATGGTGAACGGCGCAAAATGAAACTTGGCGTTTAGGGGGAACATGCAATCAAGGAGCTGGTGAGCCGCCTTGATCAATTTCAGTGCAATGTCAATGGCAGTGGGCTGGAGACTCTTCTCGATAGACGTGGAGTCTTGCTGTACGTCTCTTGTGAGACAAGGTTTCAATGGCATAAGCATGACCATATAGGCAATAGTATGCAGCTGTTTGCGTTGCACCTCCACGTATTTGTAATCATGGTCCCATTGCGTGTCAGGATTGACAAGCCGGTAAGCAGGCGGAAATGAAGCAAGCCATTTTTCGGTCTCTTGTTGAACAGTGACGGCGATTGCAGGAGTCATTGTTCCACCCATCACCCCTGGTATTTTGGACAAGGCCTGGCCGAGTTGGCATTGGAGCGCGATGTGGACTATGGGCGAGGGCACGTCTGCCTCAATATGGTCGCTTTCCAACCTCACATTGGGCATTTCAAAGGAGCAGTAAGTACTGTTAATAATAAAGGGGCGGGATAGCATGAGGGACATTTGCCTTGCAAAGTGAGCCTCGAAGCCTCAATAGAGGTGAAGGGAACTTACCAGTCCCAACTATACAGAATACACCACAGACGTCGCCTCATTTCTCTGTCAAATTCTGGAAGACCTATCTTGGAAATGCTCTTATGCATGCCTATACGGTGATGATGTTCGCAATTAGCACCTTTTGGACGAACGACTAGGACTATCTACTTACCCAACTCTTGAGCCTCGTGGATAGCGGAGCTCAAGGCATGCCATGATTCAACAAACAGGGCTTCGGCCTTATACCAGGATGCTGTGAGAAACAGTTGCTGAACTTGAGTTAGTCCCCCTTTCCCTGGGGGAATGGTGTTGCTCAGTTGTTTGGCCGCATGATGGTAGCGCTGAGAAAGGCTCTCAACGCTTTCGCCCAATTCCATTTCAAGCTTCTGCCTTACTCCAGGGTCGAGGAATAGTGTTGCACATGCGCATGTTCGTATTAATAAACATGTAAACTCTGCAGTCAACGGCTGACCGCTGGTTTTACCCGACCACCATGCAGAGTAATCACTCAGAAACGTTGGTGGATAGAGGCAATAGTACTGCAAGTTCGTTTCACGGACATAGTGTTGTACCAAGATATCTAAAATTGTGTGAGCTTATTTTTAACCGCTCATATTCGCGCACATACCTGCATATGGCTTTGGAGGGATTACACGTAACGCATTCTCCAATTCTGGAGAATATGTTCCTCGTGTCTTTTTTGAAATTGCAGCAGAATCCTGTCGAAGAACTTAGCCCGCGGTTGAATCCTAGGGATCGTTTCGTCGAAGAAGCATACTCCGCTCACATGCTCTCCGGATTGAACCTCAGGGAGGTACCCCAACACCTTGAAGTCCTCTTTACTGTCCTCGACAGCGGTCCCGCCCATGGGCGAGGCAATTTGCCCTTTCTCAACGCTAGTACTGCGGGCAGGATCGGCTTGTCTAACAAGTTTTAGCTAAGGATGGACGAAATGATAAAGTCCATAGCGAACCTCGAATCATTGACAGTTGCTTTACTCGCTTTCAACACTTTCTTCGGCTCAAATTTACATAGGTGGGCAATTCTTCTTGCCTGACAATGATTACAAGGCCATTCACGACTGCACTATAAGGTAAGTCAGAGAATGTCAAGGATGAATTCCAAGAGTACGGCTCTCGGTTTGCTTGCCTTCTGCTTCCGACGTTGACATTCCGTGCAAGAAGCAGCCAGCCGAACGGCTCGGCTGTTCTGAGGCTGGTTGACCATCCTGGGCGATCACAGTCATCTAAAATGTGCTAAGACACCATCGATTCCATGAACGCGAGTAAAACACCAAAAATGTTAGACTGCTGTTAGAATGAAGTATGATCAGTGTAAGGCGCCACTGAGCTAATCGATGCGGATGGAGTCCGATGCACAATGAACTCACCACCGGTAGTTGTTTATGCGCATAAGCTTATTCACAGATTAGTAATTAATGAATCTCGTTAGGGCAAACCTAGGCCCCAATCAGGCTAGTGCCATCCACACCCACAAGCGGAGAACGGGATTTTCTCACGGCGGATAGCGAGCCGAAGTCTTTTTCTCTCGTCCTTGCACCGATATTCAGCGCAGAGCCACACCATAAGAGTTATTCTTTTGGAAGACTGTCAGCAAGATGTCTAAGATCACAGTCGGTATGCGTCCAGAATTTTACTCGCGACTTTTGTGAAGCAGCAACTAATATGTCACCTCGTTACAGCCGGAGTGCGCGAGAATATCGAGCAGCTGCTCAACTACTCTCAGAATGAGAAGAAGAGAAACTTCCTCGAGACCGTCGAGCTTCAGATCGGTCTGAAGAACTACGACCCCCAGCGTGACAAGCGTTTCTCTGGCACCATCAAGCTGCCCACCGTTCCCCGCCCCAACATGACCATCTGGTATGTCCACTTTGCCGACCGACCGATCCTTCGATGAAATGTCTTGATACGCATCATCGGGAGAAGGATGAGGTAGCACATAAGTTATGGGAATAAGTTTACTGACGGTGATGTCTGCAGTGTTCTTGGTGACCAGCACGATCTCGACCGTGCCAAGCACCACGGCATCGATGCCATGTCCGCTGATGACTTGAAGAAGCTCAACAAGAACAAGAAGCTCATCAAGAAGCTTGCTCGCAAGTACGATGCCTTCCTTGCTTCCGACACCCTCATCAAGCAGATTCCCCGTCTCCTGGGTCCCGGTCTGTCCAAGGGTATGTATTCTCGGTTCCCGCAGCACGCACGGCGCGCCGGCATAGCCTCTTTAAGCAAACGCTAACTCGACGTAGCTGGTAAATTCCCTACCCCCGTCTCTCACAACGAGGACATGGCCAACAAGGTCACCGAGATCAAGTCTACCATCAAGTTCCAGCTTAAGAAGGTTCTCTGCCTCGGTGTTGCCGTTGGCAACGTCGGCATGACCCAGGATGAGCTTGTCGCCAACGTCATGCTGGCCATCAACTACCTCGTCTCCCTGCTCAAGAAGGGCTGGCAGAACGTTGGCAGCCTTGTCCTCAAGGCTACCATGTCTCCCCCCAAGCGTCTCTACTAGATTCTCTGCGCAATTAGCTTTGTGTCAGAGTTTTTTAGGCGCTCAGGTGTGGGATTGTATATGCCATAGATAGGAAATGTGATGTCCACGACTGGTACCTAATCTTTTTTTCTGAACTCCGTAGTGTGTGCTGCGATGTTGCACATGTTGCAAACTCCATATATTCTAGGATATACGCCGCCGTATAAAGTACATAAACAATGCCAACCACGAACGTAATATACAAGTGGATAAAGTAGGGTAAATAGCTACTGCATCCCGGGCATAAGATCCGTCTTGTCGAGGATCATCCCTCTCATACCGATGAACTCCCGCAAACTGTCCCACTCTTCTCCCTCCTCCTCGCCCCTCATGTAGATATCCTTGAATCCCCAAGCGACGGCAACCCTATCCAGTGCGGCGCGCTCCTCCTCTCGCAGCCAGCGATGTCGTAACGGAACTCCAGCCTGCCAAACAACCCTTTCCATCTGGTCGTTAGCTGATGTGATAGCCAAAAGGCCGATCGACGATGTACCTCCGACATAGGCGAGAGTGGCTGCGAAGGCAATGCCAGTCGCTGTGCTGGGATCCATGGTGTTTTGCAAGCTAGAGGCCCAGGAAGCGATGGCGTAACACGCGGCTGGCGTGGCTGCAAGACCACCTAGTGGTACAGCAGCCTTCTTGAAGAGCTTCGCACGGTGGAATGCTGGGGCGCAAAAGGTGTTATCGATGATTGCCAGGACGAGTGGTAGGTTTCGCTGTTCGATGGCGATGTCCAGGGCCATGTTCGCAAGTTCGGTGGGAATGGCGCTGTTGACGCTCTTGGGATTTGCCTTGTGGTATTTGACAGGGGAACTGTTCTCCTCGGGAACTGGCTTGTGGGCGTACAGGTAGAACATCTCGGGAAAATGGTCGGCCTTCCTCAAAAGGGTCTGAATCTTGGTATAGCATGCCATCGCTTCTGGCGAAATAAAGACTTTTTCGTCCTTGAGAAGCCCTGTAGCGATCTGCGACAGCGACTCGGCTAGGCGGGGTTGCGCATCGCGGATTGATTTGAAGTGTTTCTTTGATGCGTTCTTTTCCTCCAGATCCAGTAACGAGGAGATTGCACTTCCCTCTTCCCCAGCGGAAGGAGACTTCTCGACTTTGTCTTGTTCGCGACTCACAAGAGCCTCTGCTATTCGTTCACATTTCTGTAGAATCTTCACAATTGACTCGTTGGAGGGTACGGAGTCGAGCCTGAGAAGTTCGGAAGACTCATGGGAGATTTGTCGCAAGGACGTCTCTGGGTCGAAGGAGGAAGGTGTGTTCGAGGAAGTCGATGCCAATCGGCTAGGTGTAAGCCTGTGAGTCACCCATGGACTTCTTGAATCCTTCTTTGGCCGCAATTGTCTTGATTGGGCGCGGGAAGTGGTTGTGGTTGAGAATGAATGGTATCGCGCAAACGGCGCCTGACAGGCAATTGGCCTGGTAGGGAGTTGACAAAATTGACAGACCAGAGCTTGAGACCTAGAAGTCTTCTGGCCGCTGAGGTTCAAGCCCTTCATGGCGGAAGTGGGAGATTTCGCGGGGTCGAGAGTGAGTCTGCTCTTCTTGTGACGGAGTTGGTAGACCTGACCATGAAAAAGCGGAGATGGTCAGCACACTGGACTAGCACCGCCACGGCCACTACCTCATCTCCGTCCACTAACTCAGCTGCCTGACGTACTGACTTCCTCCAAAGGCTGCCATCACCGAAGATTGACGATCGTCAGATGATCTTTAGTCTTACGGGGGATTGAACCCTTCCTGCTTTCATTTCATTTCTACACTTCACTACCCAGACTGGATTGTCATTGTCCTTTCGATTACTGCTCCTCGAACCAAGATGCCTCCTCCTCCACCACCTCCTCCGCCGCCGCCTGGAGGGATGGGAGGCCCTCCTCCTCCCCCTCCTCCACCAGGGGTAATGGGCGGACCTCCCCCTCCCCCTCCTCCTTCTGGGGCTCTTCCAAGTCGGCCAGCGAAGGGTGAAGCTAAAGATAGGGTCAGTTGGAAACCCGTTCCTTGTCTTTCCAAGATCCGCTGCTAATGCCCTGGTAGAGCGCGCTTCTTTCAGATATCACCAAAGGCACTAGACTGAAGAAGACCGTCACAAATGATAGATCGGCGCCCTTGATTGCGGGAGGAGTTAAATCAGCTGCACCACCAGTTGCAGGTGCACCCCCTGTTCCTGGCATGCCGAAACCCCAGAGTGGCCTGGCACCGCCCGTTCCTTCAGCCAACCGAGTACGAAGCAGTAGCGAAAGCGGTGGTGGTGGAGATAGCGGTACATCCACTGCTCCTCAATTGGCAGGACTCTTCGCAGGAGGGATGCCCAAATTGCGCAGTCGGGGCGGGGTTGACACAGGAGCCAACCGTGACTCGCCTTACATGTCAGACTCGGAAGCTTCGCGACCTCCACGACCGCCTGTCGCTTCTGCTCCAAAGCCTCCAGGTGCTCGGCCACCGCCACCGCCCCCGTCTTCTACAGAATCGCCGTCTGCTTCTCCGCTGAACCCGCTAGTTGCTAATCTGCGCAAACCTCCGCCGAGACCAGCCTCAAGGCCTTCCTCAACCGTCTCATCGTCTACATCAATCAAAACTGCGCCGGATGCTCCACCTCCACGCGCACCTCCTCCTTTGCCTGGTTCAGCGAAACTGCCACCTCCTCCGCTGACGTCGAGGAAGCCGTCCTCGCCAGCGCCTCCACCTCCACCCCCTGCGCCTTCCAGTCCAGCTGCACCACCTCCTCCTCCGCCGGCATCTTCAGCACCCCGACCGCCTCCTCCCGCACCTGCACGATCGACCCCTCCTCCCCCACCTCCGGCAGCGGCAGCTTCATCACCTCATACAAATGGGGTAGCGGCAGCTTCTATCGCGGTGCAAGCTGCCAGGAACGCTCTCGGGCACAGTAACCATGCGCCGTCCGCACCTCCTCCACCTCCTCCTGCAGCGTCTGCCCCATCAGCGCCTCCACCGCCACCCCCCCCCCCCCCCCCCGCCACCCCCGCCATCGGCGCCTCCAACAGCACCAGCAGTACACCCCAGTCATCCGCCACCTCCTCCAGCACAAACCCCAACACTGCCGCCTAGCCAGCCTATGACCCGTTCGACCTTGGATCCGAGTGCTTATACTCTAACTAATGGCGGCACGTCGCCGGGCCATCAGAACATGGGCTCGCACGGAATAATTCGAGTGGAAGACAATCGGTTCAAATTCCAGAGTGACGGGCTGCTTCCCAAGCCGCGGCCGTTTGTGGGAGGTCCCCGGCGGTACCGTGCTGGGCGAGGTAGCAGTGTACCGTTAGACTTGAGTGCGCTGAGCGGCTAATTGGACGGCTGGCTGGTATTGTTTTCGAGAAATAAATGGATGCACTGTGTTGCTACGCTGCTTATTAGCGTATGTGAGATACCGATAACCCGCGGTCAATATGCACGCCAGCCGTTAGTTCGTATACATGATATCCCAGTCGGATAGATTTTTATGAAATATCTACCTGCAGGCGTTTCTTAGTACATTATAATCGTTCAATTCGTAGTCACTCTGAATCTCCCGCTTTAGTAGACTTCTGTTTGAGATATAGATTTCCGAAGCTAGGCCAAGCTCCACGCACGTGACTAGATACAGTCGCGGCGGTGATACATTAAGCATCGGATCTCAATGCGAAAGGCGGAATTGGGTGTTGTGCTTGTTCAGAACTAACCACGGACGATTTTTTCCTTGCAAATCTATTCTGCGAGAGCAATTCCATCATTAGAGTTGTCAGCGATAGATTGAACTTTAACGGGTGACGTCCGATCATCCAAGCTCATCCGACTTGTCCAGATCACTCCGCTATCAAGGTGGACGAGGAAGCTTTCAGTTCCGGATCTAGCTACTGTCGCCTTTTACTGTTGAGATAGGTCTCGGCTGTCTATCCAATTTGAGGAGCAAGGAGGTAGCAGCCCACTCTGCTGACGGCTCGGAACTTGTATTTGAACCACCTTAGCCCGTCATTGAGCGGCCTCGCAGCTCGCCATCATGTCTCTGCACTCCTACATCAATAGTAAGTCACTTTCTTTTGCGACAACTGAACTATGCGACGCAAGTATTACAATACGGTGGCTAACCCAACTATCGCACTGCTTAGAAAAAGTTCTCATTCTCACCGTTGACGGCCGCACGTTACTAGGGACACTCTTGTCGACGGATCAGTTGACGAATCTTGTCCTGCTGAACACAATTGAGAGAATCATCCGAACCCCGGATGACCCCGAACCGAGCTCGCAGATCGAACATGGGCTTTACTTGATTCGAGGTGACAATGTGGTTCTGTGTGGCGAAGTCGATGAGGCGATTGATAATGATATCGACTGGTCGAAGGTGAAAGGCGAGGTTGTCAAGGGCACGAAAAACGCATGAAAGAAATGACACTTGATTATACATGATGTGCGGCCCTTGCGACGCGCACAAGACTTAGTGGAGTTGTCCGGAGCGTGTGACCGAACCTACGACTCGGTGTTGAAACGTCAAGCAGCTGCAAGGCTTCATGAAGACATGCTACTTTCCGAGCATGCTGAATACGAGTGGTATGTCTCGGCTGCGAGTGGACTGCATATTGGACGAATGATCTGTTGCCATGGTACATGAATACGACTCACTACAGAAGGACGATACCATCATGATTGACCGGACTTGGAGCTGAGAGCAAGATGGCGGTCTTATCTGATGCTTATACGCCTTGGAGGGACGCGAGAAGCGATTGAGAAGCAAATCTAGTTGGAAGATACCCTTTAATCTGCAAAACCATGGTTTTTTACTTTGGATTTGAAGCACAAGGAACTATGAGGTGTTCATGAGATTGGAGGCCACGATAATCTCGCCGTGTGATAACGCTCGGGAAGTTCTCCGAACAAGACCTAGCACTCTCATGCATACAAACTTCAATTCCCAGGCTCAAATACAGTACAATCTTCTCCACTGCTTCCCTATAAGCGAGTTCATTGCCTCTTCCAGAGCATCTCTACCCCTCTATACGCAGTAATCATCATATTACCGAGATAGGCTAGCGTCACTGTATTTGCCTAGCCCAATGTAGATTTTCCCTCAACTCGTTTGAGCTGCAACTTGTAAGAAATGAGAGCTGCACGAAATAAGAAGAATTGAACATTATATAGCCTCCTTTGAGGTTTGATCATATCTTGAGTGCTATCCCCAGAGTGTCAAATATTGAGTTGCGAGCTCTACGATCCTTAGCGGTTGTGCCGAAACAGAAATAGGACCCACTCTTTGTCTAGTCGTGCTAAGCGCTGGACATCCCTTCGGTAACGCCGATAGCAGCGTGTTTTGTTGATTTTGGGGTGGGCATGTCGCGCACTGAGCCTGATCATAATCTCACATGCTCACTGTCTGAGTTGATGTTGGCTCTCTTTGTTTGATACTTGTCCAATTGTCCTATCAGACTTGGTATCACTTCGTCTAGAATTTTTTCTGCGATATCCCCGTTCCAACTCCACATTCCAGAGAAGCGGATCGATATCGGTTTCAGTTATGAGAGATCTGGTCTTGTCCTGACAGAAGAGGGACCATTGCGAATTAATTAACTCTGGGTTGAACTGAGATCGTTCTGGAGGTATGTATACCTCGCCGTTTTTGCAAGATGCAATACCTCTCACTGACAAGTATTTGTTGTCTACAACAGATTGACCCGACACTTGAAACAAGCCATTGCAGCGTCTCTCGCCGCTCAGGTATTACATTGATGCTGGCCCACCAATCGACCCACTCGTCGCACCTATACTTCTTTCTGTGACGTTGCTCATAGGAACATCTCTCGTTGATGACCTACTTCCCAGGTATATTGTGAACCATGGTCAACCAGACGAGGAAGCGCTCCGGTACACATGCCTCGCCTTATACCCCAGAAGCTCGCCATCAAGCCGTGGACATTGAGAAGCAGCCGCATCGCACGCATTATACCCACCATGACCATCGCAGTTCGATAGAGTCGGACAGCGGCGACGACTCCTTCACCTCTTCCTCTGCCAGTTCGCGTCGGCCAATGTTGAATAGTGCCCCCTCGGCGCGGCGCTCTCGAGCGCCGGTTGGTTACTATCGTGTCCCGAATCGGATAATGCGATACCTGTGCCTCGCGCTATTCTCTGCACTGGTCTTGTTCATCCTCACCCTATTCCGCTTCACCATCACTTCGGATGCGAAGCAAGTCACTCTCGAGCTGCCAAAGGTGGCGCCCAAACCGCCGCAATGGGAGAGCTTCCCTTTCCTGAAACGGTATCATGGTGGTATTCGAACATTGACGCCGCGCAATGAATCGGTACCCGAATATCCAAGTGACGGAATAGAGGAGATGGCCATGGGCTCGGACAACAATAAGGGTCAGGCCAACGTTGAAACCAGAGATCAGGAAGCGTTGATGTCGAGCTTGGTCTTCAACCCATACCCAGATTACGCATCAGATGACTACGTGAAGAAGTATGGTGAGAAGCGCGAATGCTTCCTCGACGAGCAGGAGACTATTCGCATTCC